AGAGAGAGAGAGAGAGAGAGAGAGAGAGAGAGAGAGAGAGAGAGAGAGAGAGAGAGAGAGAATGGCACAAAATTAGAGGAGGGAGAGGGAACTCAGGGAAGGCCTCCATAGTCAGATGTATATAGGTGAATATTATAAATAAAAATCCAAAACGCTTGACTGTGGAGTGTGTCTGGACTGCAGCGTTGAGGCAAAACTCCTCGAGGGATATCATGTCGTTGGTCACCTCAGCAAGTTGTTGTTGTATGTTCTCCTTCTACTCTGCTGAACCTCCAGGTTTTCTGTCTTCATCCGAAAACTCCGAATGCAACAGGTCCATGAAAGTTTTCCGCTATTCTTATATGTGTAAATAGGCCGTATTGGTTGTCCATCCACGAGTATTAGAGCACATACCTTGCAGATTTTAGAACCATGGTGTGCAGTGATTTCCAGCGTCCGTGCGGTGTTGCGTGTGGAGTGTGTGTTGAGCGTGGACACTACAGCCTTGCAGGGGTGGGCCAGATATCACTTGGCCGGTATGGTTCCACTTTTGAACACCGTGTCCCATGAGGCTGCAGTGGTTACGATACTTGGCTCTTCTTGAGGCCGAGGTCGCCGGTTCGAATCCGTTCATGTGCACAGAGGAGGGCTGAGGCCCACCAGTACTGATCCAATGACAATGACATCTACTAAGCTTGTTCACGACATTATGGATACTTCTCACCAAGACTGTGTAACTCATGGTCGTTGCTGCCAGGGTTGTAGGCCCCCGGGGGGTATCCAGGGATCAGGATGTGGGGACCACTAACCCCAGGGGCAAGGAGAGGCGGAAAAGCCAAAAAAAAAAAAAAAAAAAAGAAAAGAAAAGGAGAAAGGGGCTGTTGCCAGTTCACACGGTAAGAGTATTTCAATTCGGTCCTGGGCTGGTAGTGAACAAGGTCGGCCACTTTGACCAAGTGCAGTTGCGCGCTCGCCAGCTCGGAAGGTAGCTTCGTCAACTTAGCCTTGTGTGATCCGCGGCAGTTTAGAAGTCGTACATTTGGACACCCAAGAGCCTAGCTCAGTGGGGACCACACCCATGAACTGTTCAAATACAGACCCGTGTTCGAATCCAGATGACAGTACTTGATGGGTAAAACAAACACACACACACACACACACACAAAAAAAAAAAAAAAAAAAAAAAAAAAAGTACTCGGATGTTACAGTTGTTCACTCCCACTTTTTTTTTTTTTGTTTCTAAAATTTGGGCCGTTTCTCGATTTATGCGTGTCATCCTTGAAAGGGGAGGGGCCATGCTAATCTTCTCTGTATCGTTCCAATTTTAACGGATGTCCCGAAGGACTGTTCGCTCCCACATATTAACCTACACCCGACCGCCTTTTTTCATAGCCTGTCCACCTGCAGTTAGGAGGAGGAGATGGAGGAGAAGGAGATGGAGGAGGAGGAGATGGAGGAGGAGGGAAGGAAGTAATAAGAGGGGAGAAGTTGGCGAACAGGATTTGAGCTCTTCGCCTTTCGATCAGCACGCTCAGGCATGTACCTTCCCACAATCACCTGTAAGGTAGCTATGAACGCACCCTCTAGAATCAATAGACGGGGTATCAGGGTAGAAAGCTGGCATACCTGTGTGACTCTTTGCACAAGACAATCATCAGCGTAGGTTCCTTCGTGGGTGCAAGGAAGCCTCTCGAACCGTGGATCCTTGGCGATTCTGCGGAAAAAAATGAACACGCACATCCGCACGTTTAGAGCGACAGGAAAGAAAGAAAGGGTTGGCAAACAGCTTTCTGCCATGATGAAATGAGACCCCCCAATAACACCCATGTTAGCAGACTCGATTTGGCAACAGACATGAGCTTTAGCGAATCTGCCATGAAAAGGAAACGCCTAAAGCTTTGGCAAATTTGCCATGAAAAGGAAGAGCCTGATGCACTGAAACTTCACCGACTGCAAGACAGTGCACTGTCTTTTTTTTTTTTTTTTTTTTTTTTTTTTTTTTTTTTTTAATTTGGATCATTTCTCGATTTATGCGCATCATCCTTGCCCAGGGGCCATGCTAATCTTCATTCTCTGTATCGTTCCAATTTTAACGGATGTCAAATTTATTTGTACCATTGTAAAAACCTAGAACCAATTACCGTCTCCTCATTTGTTTTCTTCCTGTTCATTTTTTTCAGGAACAAAGGAGCCGTTACCTTGCATGCATGCATCTGATTAAAAAACTACGGCAGATGACAGACAAAACACTACCGTCTTCACCCAAATAAAACGCCTGGTCATTAAAAAAA